CTAATTAGATTAGTTATGCATGACGAACATCGAATATTTAAACAGGCATAAAAAGCCAACACCCTGTCTCATGTAAAGTATTCAAAGTAAGCAAAGCAAGTAAGCGAAGTATTCAGCAAAGTATTCGAAGTATTAAGCAAAAGTATTAAGTAATCAAGTAAACGAAACCAAGCAAGCCATATTCCCGCACATTGGTAAGTTTATCTATTCTATAATGTACGTGTGTAAATATTGTTTATATGTAAAGGACTGTAGTATAATTGTAATGCATGTTTCTGTAGGAATTTTACAAGTGTGTTAAAACCCGTGTGCTGGGATGGTGAAAGGTGTAAAGTACTAAAAGCAAAATAAAAGTCAAGATTGATTAAAGCGTTCGAACCCTGTTTCGTACAAATACTATAAATGGAGATGAGTTTTATCAGGAATAAAGCCTCTTCACGTGACAAATTAAGTGTATGAATTATTATATAATGAGTGTTTGAAGAATAAAAATTCTGTATTTATATAATAGCATGCTATACAATATATTTATCTTTACCGATTTGCTGCAATAAGTACATAACTCATAATAAGTACATAACTCATAATATTATAACATAACTCATACATAACTGCAAATATGTGTATTCACATAAAAATGCGTTAATAAACGCTTAAAATGCGTATATATATATAAAGTTCGTCTGACTTTGCTATCAAACGATTTATTCAATTGTGTTTCGTTGCTCATTGTGTATGATTCAATCGCGCATGATATAACCCTTATGCATAGGTAATAGTGTGGTTTCGAGTGCAATTTGTGAAGAATAAAAACATGCAAGAGAGTTTTTCAAACTCACGAGACACGAGTGTATATTTTTCTCAAATTGCACGAGAAACCATATACTATACTATTACTTAATAATATACATGAAAATAGGTATGCAGTGCGTACATGTTGCATGCCATCTTCAACCTTATGATGTGCTAGCGCCTACGACTTTTGGTACAACTGGCCTGAAACTTAAAGTGGAAGTCAAGTCCGTATTAATGTAAACAAATGGTTTGTTTACATTTTGAACTGCTGTATTTTTTAAAATATGATGTACTGTCTGAATATCTAACACCATTTTGGTTCGCTATGCTTCTAAATGAATACGAAATAGAGTTTATGTTCAGAAAAATTCGAAACATTCGAATTTCGAAATTTGGGAATCTATGATTTGGGCAATGTTCACATTAGAGGGTCCTCACATTGTTATGAGCAGAATCGATGCGCAGAACGGACTTGACTTCCACTTTAAAATTTTAATATGAATATATTTATTGAAAAATAGCTATTTTGTCAAAATAAGAAAACGGAATATTCTCTCGCGAATAAACAAGGTTTTATCGCAAGCGATTGACTGTTAGATTTCCTTTACAAATTTATAACTAAATAATGTTATTTCCTACAAATTTAGCTTTATTGTAGCTCTTTGAAAGTGTAAAAAACCGTGGAAACGGTGAGTTACTATAATAGTTACTATGAGATTGCTACTACTACTAACACCGCGGAAAAACGTCTGCGCATGCGTCAACCTTACCTGTCATAGTATTGCGAACTTGATCAGAAGCTGTTCCGAACGTTTCCGAAGGCTCAAAATGGCGGTAAAAAGGAGTGACTTCATTGTGCGTCTTTACAGCCAGATTTCGAGCGCAAAAATAAACATGTCATTCTAAAAACTAGGAACAAATACAGCCAGAAGGTTCAAGAAATTGTATTGTACAAGAACATGAACTAAAGGTGATTGTTGACAAATTTATCGTCTGAAACATTTTGTTTATCAACTAAGCAATGACAATTTCCGAATTTTCGTTTGAGATACATTTCTTAAAAAAAAACTGTGTCGCCAAATATAAAAAATTTTCGTGTTCACAATAACTAAACTTTAGGATTTATTCTACAATTTGAGTGGGTTAAGAAGCTTAACTTTTCGAGAGTTCTCTTAACTTTTGAGTTTGAATTTTTGTTTTGAATAATTTTGCAAAAATTTTCGAAGTCGTGTCCATTAAAATCAACAATTTTTTACATGAATTATATTTCATTCCATACTTTAAATGCCAGGACGCTTTCAATTAATGTCTAGTCTACCCATTTGCTATATTTTCTCGTTTGTTTTACTAATTTTTGACCAATTAATAAGCATGTTTTTGTTTTAGAAATTGATATTCAAATTCCCCGCCATATTTTCATAATTTGGTGCATGCGCAGACGTTTTTCCGCGGTGTTACTACTACTACTAGTAGATTGCTATTTCGTTATAATAATATAAACGAAGTTAATAGTATTAATGAGAATTTGGTTTGATACTTATATTTCATGTTATTTACAAAATGTACTGTAATTTTGAAGTTTTGCACACAATATAATTAGTGCAAGCACAATGGCTCCGTTTTGTTAATTGAGTATTTTGATAGAGTGGCCTTTCATGATATATAATAACGCCTGATATAGTGCGAGCAAAACGGCTCCAAAATCACAACAAATTACAGAATATAAATTTTCGGCGAACAATCATTATTAGAGAGTTTTAGCTTGACGTTTACTGCCAACGTCAAACCGCTAACGAAGTTTTTGATTTTACAAGTCTATTATAACAGCTTTTACACCAGTTTTGAAATATAAACAATTATTAAATTTGTGCTCTTTAGCAATGATTTAAAAGAAAGCAAATTAACCACTAGACACGTATTCGCGAAAGCAGTAAATTATGATTTGGCGTTTGAAGTTTACGTTTGGCGTATAAATTTCATGCTTGAATTGCTATGAGGGCTTGTATAGTCGTTAAAGCATGAAATTTATACGCCAAACGTAAACTTCAAATACCAAATCATAATTTACTGCTTTCGCGAATACGTGACTAGTGGTTAATTTGCTTTCTTTTAAATCATTGCTAAAGAGCACAAATTTAATAATTGTTTATATTTCAAAACTGGTGTAAAAGCTGTTATAATAGACTTGTAAAATCAAAAACTTCGTTAGCGGTTTGACGTTTGCCGTAAACGTCAAGCTAAAACTCTCTATTTTCTTTGCGTTTCCTCGACGAAAACCATGGACGAAAACGTGCATGAGTGATTCACATCACATGAAAATGCTCGTTGGAAAAGCATCTGCCACGTGATTTACGACCACCGGTACGCTCACGACGACATGAAATGTAGAGCTATATGAAAGTTGCATGCCATATAGCCATATATGGCATGCAACAAAAAACTCAAAACACCTTGCTTCAGGACGACCCAACACCTTGCTTCAGGACGACCTTATTCAAACACCTTGCTTCACGACGACCTTACTCAAAACACCTTGTTTCAGGACGATTTACTCAAAACACCTTTCTTCAGGACGACCTTACTCAAAACACCTTGCTTCAGGACGACCTTACTCAAAACACCTTGCTTCAGGACGACCTTATTCAAACACCTTGCTTCAGGACGACCTTACTCAAAACACCTTGCTTCAGGACGATTTTACTCAAAACACCTTTCTTCAGGACGACCTTACTCAAAACACCTTGCTTCAGGACGACCTAACTCAAAACACCTTGCTTCAGGACGACCTTACTCAAAACACCTTGCTTCAGGACGACCTTACTCAAAACACCTTGCTTCAGGACGACCTTACTCAAAACACCTTTCTTCAGGACGACCTTACTCAAAACACCTTTCTTCAGGACGACCTTACTCAAAACACCTTGCTTCAGGACGACCTTACTCAAAACACCTTTCTTCAGGACGACTTTACTCAAACACCTTGCTTCAGGACGACCTTACTCAAAACACCTTTCTTCAGGACGACCTTACTCAAAACACCTTGCTTCAGGACGACCTTACTCAAAACACCTTGCTTCAGGACGACCTTACTCAAACACCTTGCTTCAGGACGACCTTACTCGAAACACCTTGCTTCAGGACGACTTTACTCAAACACCTTGCTTCAGGACGACCTTACTCAAAACACCTTTCTTCAGGACGACCTTACTCAAAACACCTTGCTTCAGGACGACCTTACTCAAAACACCTTGCTTCAGGACGACCTTACTCAAACACCTTGCTTCAGGACGACCTTACTCGAAACACCTTGCTTCAGGACGACTTTACTCAAACACCTTGCTTCAGGACGACCTTACTCAAACACCTTGCTTCAGGACGACCTTACTCAAAACACCTTGCTTCAGGACGACCTTAATCCAATGATCTATTGTGGTCATGACTCATCGAGGTCACTGCAGAGGAAGCCAACAAAACTCTTGGCCTCGATAAAAGAATATGTAGGGACACATACGCGACCTCACCACCAGAAGACTCTTATGCTGCACTCTGGTTAGGCCCAAGTTGGAATACACGAGTAATGTCCGGTCCCCTAACACCGAAATTGTTCAGGGGCGAGCGAGCACGTTTATCTTAAATTGCCCCCAAGGAATTGTCCAGAAAGGCCGGTTAAAACGAATCTCCTTCCTCTAGAATTCCGCTGAGAATTCTGACTTGCAACTACTATACAAATCCAAAATGGGACTTATATCTATGCCTATGCACATCAACAAGTATTTATGTACCTACGAACCGGGCTATAAATTACGCCGTAATAGGCAATTCCAGCTATAGACTAAAGTTTGATCTAGGCGAGAAGAACAAAATCTATCACCACGGCTAGAAAGAGCATGTTAAAATTCGTAAAATTGCAAAGTGTTGGCGCAAAATGTTGTAAAATGCGGCCGAAAGTGGTGCATTTTCCCGTGCGTAGTACAAAGAACAAATTTCGCAAGGCTATATTTTCCTCATTTTACAACATTTCGCAACCAAACTTTGCAATGTTACTAATTTTGACATGCTCATTCTAGCTGTGGTGATGATTTTGTTCTTCTTGCCTAGCTCAAAATTTAGTCTATTTGCTGGAATCACCCATTACGACGAAAATAACTTCAATTTTCTCCTGAAGCATAAACAAGACTACTTTAAAAATGCGTTCTTTATTAGGTGAACGAATCTGTGAAATAGTGTTTTAGCTGATCTGAAATCGTACGTCTCAGTATTCATATTTATAGAAGCGGTCTATACGTAGATATTACAAATCAAAATTACCATTTTACTGCCCTCCTGCATGGCTTTGTTGACACACACATTTGTTTGTTTACTACATAATTTAATTAATTGATGTGGTTATTTACTATAGTTTAAGGGTCAGGTGTCAATTGGGACACATGCTTTGTTCCTTTCTCCAGTCGCATGTTATTTGTAAGAATGTATAACGTCGCATAGGCCGTGGGCTGTTGTGCGAAAAAGTGCCTAGAAAAGCAATTTCGTGACACCCTCCTGGGAAATAGATTTTCTGTGGTTCAATTCATGGAACCATAGATGCTTAATTACCACAAAAAGTTCCCAAGCGAAAAACTTGCCCAACACCGAGAAAATGGGTGATCAGTGATTATGCTCTATTTTTAAATTGTATTACAGCAAGAAAATGTAAAATTTTGTATTCAATTACAACAAAAATGACTTGCATTATACATATACATATAAGACATTTAAACAGTTTTTTTATATCTAAAATTGTTTTCGAGTTATACGCTGTCAAGAACGCGTTTTTCACCTAGTACCCAGTCCTTATGCGACATTTTGGTCCAATTTTCACATTTAAAACAGCAATAACTCAAAGACTATTTGAAAAATCAAGAAACTGTTTAAAAGTCTTATATGCGGTTTTTGTACGTTTTCCGATGATGCAAGTCATTTTTATTGTAATTGAATACAGAATTTCCCATTTTTTTGCAGTAATACAATTTAATGGAGGATAATCATTGATCACCCATTTTCTCGGGATTGGGCAACTTTTTTGCTTGGGAACTTTTTTTGGTAGTGATGTACCTATATGCCTTTCAAATAAACCCCAAACCAAGTATTTCCCACATGGGTGTCACGAAGCGAAATAATTTTGGCCAACAGCCCACGGCCTATCAGTGTCAGTATTGCTTGTGACGAATTTAATACATATTTTAACCCAATCAGAAAGCCTAAATAGTCAATGAAATTTACACTGTATTTCATTTTTTGGCACTGTATTTCGAAAACATTGCACTGCTCTTAGCCACTCAGAATTGAGAAAGTTTTTCATGTATATTATTAATGACGTAACCATGAGACTCCTCATACAAAATAAGCTACACAATAAATCGCTTGATAGCAAAGTGAGACGAACTTTTTAAGCGTTTATAAGGGGGGATTTCCACGTACAGAGAAATATTTCGCTTGATTTTTTTATTGTGTATTTTTGACCATCCGAATAACTTAGTTCTACTTGGCCGCTCACAATAAGTGGAAATCCAGCTTAACGTATTTTTAAGTGCAATACAAATATTTGCTGGACTGTCTATGATAAGTAATAATGACACTGCCACCGTCCTACGTAGACACATTCGCATATTTTTGGACCATGGGTGGAAAACATTACTGGGAAATTACTGGGTTTTTTAACATTAAGCAAACGTTAAATTCCCCGCTGTATCCTGGGGGTCGGGGGTCGTGGTTTCAAATGACTGATGCATAGAATAGTTGTTTTTCATAACTGTTTTTCAACTTCAGATATTGTGCGAGGTTCATTGGACGAACATTAGACCACATGTGGTTGGCTTGTGGAACTGTTTTTAACGAAGTTTTACTCTGGAAAGTTACAGATAAGCAGGCTAGCGACGACAAGGTTCCCGTTAGAATGCGGCTTACTGGACATGATGGTGTGATATTTTCAGTAAGATATAACCAAGAAAGACAGCTACTTTGTTCTGTTTCTGATGATAGAAGTATTAAAGTATGGAAGGCTGTATTCACAAATGATTATTCAAATGTTACTGTAAGTGTGCTTGTTAATTAAGTGGCAATGTTATGTGCATGTGATGTGCATGCAGGGTGCATGTAATATATACCCCATGAGCGGCCGCAAGGCATTTTTAATACCATGGACTGGTGAGGCATTTGCCCCAGTAGGCCCCTTCCTCTGCCCCACCACTGAAGAAAAAAATGGCCTATTGCCCCAAAGCTAGGGCCCTTGGACCTGTGTTGAGTAAATGAGTTTAACATTGAAAAGAAGTGTAAAAAAAATTATTGGGGGACATACTTAAACTTATGTTATGTTTGAATGTTCAGCATGCAATTTATTACAAATTTCACCATTAGGACTTTGTTTTGAGAAGCTGAAATTTTTTTAATGTGTTCTCAGAATGCAGGAAATGCTATTTCTGAGACCCAAATTTTGGGTCCTTTGGGCCCTTTGGCAGTTTTGCCTCACCACTGAAGAATCCTTAAAAAATGCACTGAGCGGCCGCGTTATAACAGACACCACCATTGTATATATACAGGGTGTATTAGAGAGGGTGTATAAAAAACTGAACAGATGTGAAATTGCTCTCAATTTCGCAAAACAACTATTAGTATTTTTTAGCATTTTTTTATATATATAGCTTCTTTGGGTAATTATAACGTAGAATAATGAAAAAAATTGCTCAAACTCAAATTTCGTAAACCCGGGGGGGGGGGTTAAAAGGAGATTTAAAAGCTTTAATCGTAATAATTGAGTTAATGGATGAAAAATGTGTTGGGTGTTTAATTGCTGCACGAAATTTCAGACAATTTTCTACAGTTTACATTTTTTTCCTAATTTGCATGTGTCAGCAATATGCAAATTAGGTAAAGGCATTAATTAAGCATACGAAAGGCTTATTTTTTAGGAAAAAATGAATAGTTAAAGGGCTTAAACTAAAGCAAATTGTCTAAAATTTTGTGCAATAATTTAAAACCCAACACATTTTCCATCTATTAACTCAAAATACGCTTAAATCTTTTAAAT